TATGAAAACACCTATTGTTTTAAAAGCTCGAACCAGAATTTGGCTTCCAGTTCAGATACACTGCCTATGGTAACATTCTCTGAGATGGACATCATAAATGACTCCTTAAGTCGAATACTTAAATGGACTAAACAATTTATTGGACTTTTAATTGCTACTATTATGGGACTTACTGCTATCACTGCTGCAGCTCCTACAGCTGGTGTTGCACTGCATCGAACAACCCAGGCCGCCAAATTTGTTCAGAAATGGCATGAGAACTCTAACCAGTTTTGGACCACTCAGCGATTGATTGACTGATTGATTGATTGATTGTCATCTTGCCTCTGAAGCTGCAGATCTTCAACAAGCAAGAAGTTTTATTAGGAGACCAACTTGTTAGCTTATAAAAACAATTAGCTTTAAAATGTGATAGGAATGTTTCTTCTTTTTGTATGTAATGTTTCTTCTTTTTGTAATATAACTCCTTTACATTATCATTGTACTCATTTTCCTTGGATTAATATCCAAAACACTTACTAGGCCAGTGTAATTTAACCTTAGATGTTCAAGCAATACAAAGTGAAATTTATAATGCTTTTAAAGATAATTTACAACAACTTTCTGGTTCTCAAATTCTTGAAAGTATTGCTGATGGATTGAGTCAGTTCAAATCCTTTAAAACAGTTCAAATTTTTTGGGTCCACTTCTTGAATTTTTATTAATCCTAGTACTTTGTTCTTTTCCTCTTTTATGTATAGTCTGGCAACGCAGATGATGAGCCACAGCTCATGCAGCCCAATGAGACGCCCTCTACACAGTAACGCTACGTAAGATTCATCATAAACAAAAAGGGGGAAATGTTGGGAGATAGAAACCAGCCCAGGCCTGAGAGAAAGACAGAAGGGAAGAATGCAGGAGGGAGTTTAAGGCAACCCCATTCCTGGATGGAGAGAAGCAGGGACTGCATGGTCAACTTGATGAAGATCTATGGGCGGTGTCTCAAGATGTTGAACGACATGCTACAAGATGTTGTCTAAATACTAAGTTAATGATAGCTATCGACCTTGTGCCAGGAATACGACCTACAAAGAATGTCATGTATTTTGTACATTATTCTCTATAGGTAAACTCACCCACTGCTTATCTGATTTCATTTGGAATAAACGGACTCTGCTCTGGTGCAGTTTTGCTTCTGCTCCAAGAGAACTTTAGCCCTCTGCCTTAACCTTTTCCTCGTCTCTTCTCTCAGTGCTTCACGACACCCTACCTTCAAGCCCTGAATTTCTCACAAGAACCTTTGTGCACTGCTGAAAGGAATGTAAAACAACATAGCTACTATGAAATACAGAATGGCAGTTCCCCCCAAAATTAAAAACAGAATTATCATATGATTTAGTAAATTCCATTTGAGTATAGTATATACTCAAAAGAATTGAAAGTAAAGTCTGGAAGATACTATTTTTAGAATTTAATTTAATTAATTAATTTATTTTAATTTGACTAGAGAGGAACAGAGCGAGTGAGAGAGCGAGCGAGAGAGAGAAAGTGAGAAAGCAAGCTGCCAGGTCTGGGACTCGAACTGCAGTTGGCCATGTGGGAGTCCAGTGCCCTTAACCACCACACTACCTGCTGGCTCCAGGAAGATACATTTTTATACCTTGGCTCATAGCAACATTATTCACAATAGTCAGAAGGTGGAATCAATCCAAGTGTCTGACAGATGAATGGATAAATAAATTCGGTATATACATACAATGGAGTGTTATTCAGCCTTAAAAATAAAGGAAACAGACACATGCTATAATATGTTTTTATTTATTCATTTATTCATTTAAGTTTTTTGTTATAGGGCATGTGTGCTTGCTGGAAAGAGAAAGAGAGAAAGAGAAGGAAAGTGACAAATCACTGCTCCCCCACAGGGGATGACCATATGCAATCCCTTCTTCATTTTCCTCTTGGGATTTTGGGCACACATGCAAACATGCCTAGCATGTTCCTGAAGCAGCCAGGTTCAGGACACAAACTACTCAGCTAAGGATGTGGGATCCAGTTGCCTTAACCACCAGAATACCAGCTGGCCCTGTTTTTATATTTTTATTGCCAGAGAGAAAAAGAGAGAGATATAGAGAACATCTCCCAATGGGGCACAGTCAAACCTTTTTCCTCCATCCCATCAGGATTTGGAGCATGTACATATGAGCCTGGCATGGTTTTTTTTTTTTTTTTTTTTTTTTGAGGGGTTTTTGTCTCTGGGGGG